TCGGAGACCGCGGGCTCGGGCTCGGGCTCGGCGGCGGGACGATGTCCCTGGGCTCTGGCCCGCTCGCGGGCCCCACGACCGTGCCCGTGAGGAAGCCCTGCTCCGCTCCCAGGTACACCTGCACGGGAGTGCCGCGGTCGAAGCGCCTCCTGTGAAGGGGCCCCAGGACACACAAATAAATACACACAAATAAAAACATGCCCCATATTTTCCTATATCTTCTGGGTTTTTGTTCCCCCCCCAGTTCCCATACTTTCCCATATTTTCCTGGGAGTCGACGACTGATTGTGTCTGTGTGTTTTTCCCCTCCTGATCCTGAGGCGCTTGCCCGGCATGCTCTTGAGCACGGGCAGGTCCTCCTCCTGCATCGGGCTGCTCTCGGGGCTGCTGCTGGGGTTGCCGTCCTCCTGTCCGATGGGCAGCCGCGGGGCCTGTGCCGGCCCGCTGCTCGTCAGCGCGTCGCCGCCAAGCGGGGGCACCTGCGGCACCGAGCCGAGCTCCGCGCTGCCAGCGACGTCCTGATCGCTGCTCCTCCTCCTCCTCCTCCTCCTCTCCTCCTCCTCCTCCTCCTCCTCCTCCTCCTCCCCTCCTCCCCTCCTCCTCCCCTCCTCCTCCTCCTCCTCCTCCTCCTCCTCCTCCTCCTCCTCCTCCTCCTCCTCCTCCTCCTCCTCCTCCTCCTCCTCCTCCTCCTCCTCCTCCTCCTCCTCCTCCCCCTCCCCCTCCCCCTCCTCCTCCTCCTCCTCCTCCTCCTCCTCCTCCGCCAGCGACGTCCTGATCGCTGCTCCTCCTCGGCCGCCTGCGTCTTCCGCGGCCTGGTCTCTCCTCGTACTGGTTCCCCTGGAGCTCCTTCTGGGCCTTGAGCTGTCTGGCGTGCTCCAGCATCTCCGTCTTGAGCTCGCTGTGCTCCAGCGCGACGTCATACCCGAGCCTCGGGTCCCGCGCCTCCCTCGGCGCCGCGTGTATGATGGCCGGGTACCAGTCCCCGTGCTTCTTGGAGAACACGCTCACCTTCTCACTCACACTGAACGGCAAGCGCAGGTTCTTCATGTCCGCGTTGGGTACGCGCTGTCTGGCGGCCATGACAAAAAGGTCGTACGTGAAGACGTTCATGCCGTGCTCCTCGCTATGGTAAGGCTGGCCCCTGATGTCCATGACCCTCGCACCTAACCACGAGTTCGTGGTCTTAGACCAATACTCTACAACGTCGCCGACGGCGTACGCAGTCGCTGTGCCCTTCGGTTCGGGCGCTGCCTCCGGCTCTATCATGATCACGGTCTCATCCGCCCTGGGCGCCTTCGATGTCGCTCTCTTCACCATGGCATCCTCGGTATCTACGTGCAACCGGTAGGAGACCCACTCCATTTTGTCCAGACCCTTGATCCACTGGCGTTCCTTCCAGATGATCCGGTCGAAGTCGCCGTCGAAGAGGACCTCGTCCGACTGCTCCTCCAGCGGCAGCACCTCCACGCCGCAGACGCGCAGCTGGTCGAGGAGCGACAGGACCTCGTTGCACCTCTCGTCCCGGGGGGCGCTCGGGGAGCCCAAGACGAGCTTGCACTCCGGGGCGTCTGGGGACCCCCGGAATCCCCTGGCGTCCTCCTCGCCGTCGACCTTCAGGACGTACTCGTCCTGCTCCGCGTCGTAGAGGACCGAGATGTCGTGCGGGAGGCCGTCGGCCACGCGCGTGCTCCCTAGCAGGAACTCCTTGCCGATCTGCCAGGCGGCGACGCCCCCGCGGATCAGCAGGCCTTTTGCCTTCCCGACGGGTCGCATCGGCTCGACCTCGGAATAGACCTTGGCGACGAGCAGCGCGTTCGTGGCCAGGGTCCTCACTCGGACCTCGAGCTCGAACTCCACCTCGCCGCCCAAATTCAGATCCACGTGCTCGATGGGCTCCCCACTGCTCGGCGTCAGGATGGCGCGGCCCGCCTCCCGCTCGTGCTGGAAGAAGGCGAAGAGCCCATCGCCGAGCGAATACTTGAGCCTCGTCTTGGAGACGCCGTCCTCGGTGGAGAAGCCGTTGTCCCGGGTCCAGTCGATGGTGGTGCCCCTGCTCTCGCCGCCCTTCACCTGTACGCGGAACGTGCCGCCGACGGGCTGCCTGCACATGTTCCTGACGTACCAGATGGATAGGAAGCAGCAGATGGCGGATGAGAAGGCGATGGCCGCGGACACGCAACCCGCCTGTACCTCGCAGCCTTCGCCTGTCTCCTCGTCCGGGCCGCTGGGGCACGTCCAGTCGTACGGGCACTGGATGTACGACCTGCAGGGGAGCGAGCTTGGCTCGAACGAGTCCTGCGTGAAATCTGGGGGCGCGTTTGCGTTGCACAGGTTGGTGTTGCTGGTCAGGCAATCGACGTCGCGGGTGACTTCACCCTCGCCGCACGTCGTGCTGCAGACGGACCACTCTGTCCTGTCGGGTCGGGCGAAAGGGGGGGATAGCAAAGGGGGGGTTTGAGAATCAGCTCACGTAGCTGATTTTCCCGGCGCCTCCCGGCGCCGGGAGGCGGCCATGTATCGAGGAATGGGCCCCTCGGTGGGCCGAAACCAGCTGCATGCAGCAAATTTCGTAACCCCCCCTTTCCCAATCCCCCCCTTTCGTCCTCCCCGCTCCTCGCTCCCTCCCCCCCCTCCCCCCTCCCCCTCCCCCTCTTCCTCCCCCTCTTCCTCCTCCTTCCTCCTCCTCCTCCTCCTCCCTCCTCCTCCTTCCTCCTCCTCCTCCCCTCCTCCTCCTCCTCCTCCTCCTCCTCCTCCTCCTCCACAATTACACAATATGAAAACACTCTCCCACTTCCCCTGATGGCGTCCCGAAGATATCCGACCCCCCCCCGCGTATTGTTTTTTACACACAAGATTCCCGGGAACGGGTTTTCGCTGGTGTTTTTTTCAAAATGCTGCTCTCGCCGAGGCGCCGGCCTCATTTTCGGGCCCCGCTCGTTCCGAATCGTGCTCCCGCTGCAGCGCTGGCCTCATTTCCGTGCTTCCGCTCGTTCCGAATCGTGCTCCCGCTGCAGCGCTGGCCTCATTTCCGCGCTTCCGCCCGTTTCGACTCGTGCTCCCGCTGCAGCGCTGGCGTCATTTCCCGTGCCATGCCACAGCACACGCGCACACACACACACCACCACCACCACCACCACCACCACCACCACCACCACCACCACCACCACCACCACCACCACCACCACCACCAGCAGCAGCAGCAGCAGCAGCACCACCAGCAGCACCACCAGCAGCACCACCAGCAGCACCACCAGCAGCACCACCAGCAGCACCACCAGCAGCACCACCAGCAGCACCACCAGCAGCACCACCAGCAGCACCACCAGCAGCACCACCAGCAGCACCACCACCACCACCACCTCCACCATCACCAGCACCAGCACCAGTACCAGCACCAGCACCAGCACCAGCACCAGCACCAGCACCAGCACCAGCACCAGCACCAGCACCAGCACCAGCACCAGCACCAGCACCAGCACCACCACGCACACCACGCACGCACGCACGCACGCGCACCACCACCCACTAGTCCGCGGATAGAGAAAATCAGCGCCATGGTAAGGGATGGGAGGGTGGGGTAGGACGTCAGATATGACGCGCGCGCACCTAGCTTGTCCTCCCCCCCCCTCCTCCTCCTCCTCCTCCTCCTCCTCCTCCTCCTCCTCCTCCTCGATCCTCCTCCTCCCCCCCTTTCGTCCGGCCCGATCCTGGCAGCCCAGCGCGCCACGGGCAGGCTCTGGAGGGCGGTCGCGGGCGCCCCGGCGACGACCGCGGCCGTGCGGAGGCCCGCCGGCACCGCGACGCCGGCCTCCTCTGTGACTACCTACCAGACCACCCCAACCCAACCCGAAGACCCGAATTTCGGGCTGGGGGGGGGTAAGGGCTCCACATGTGTTTTTTCGATGTTTCCCGACCCCCCCCCCACTGGAAATCGAGGGTAAATCTGAGCCTTCGGGTTGGGTTGGGGTGGTTTGGTGGGTGGTGACTCTCGCCATCGCTCGGACGTCCATTTCCCGTGCATTTTTCGGTCTCGTGCGTGCTTTTTTCTTGCTCGAGGGTCCACGATCGTCCTCAATGGTTCTCGCCGAGGAAAAATGCACACGTCCGAGCGATGCCAGGTCCTGCAAGAAGCTGACGAAACTACGGGTGAAATTGCCCGTCCCGAGGCCAGCCAGGCCACCCTCGATTGCCGTGCGGTCGTCAATCGGGTACAGCTGGAGGCACAGTTTGACGAACAGCCCCTCCTCTCCTGTTGAAAGCCTCGCTGGAAGGCCAGACGCTGAGTCCGAGTTCAGGTCCTTCATCTCCAGCAAATAAACCTGCTCTGGGCGCAGGCCTAAAACGTCGCCGAACGCGCTCTGCATAGGAGCCCTGGTCCCGCCACCAGCCCACTCCGCCATAATGCCCGAGTTCGCCTGACCGGCAACGAACGCAATCTCCACCAGCAAGACCTCGACACGTTCGAGCGCCTCCGCGTCCGCATCGGAGACGCAGACCACCGGAATCATCTCAAACGAGCCCAAGGTGCAATTGATTGGCTCAACCAGCTGGTAACCGTCATCGCAAACTGGCGAGCACGACTCACGGCTTGCAATACCGATGCAAGACGAGCTGTCGGCCACGTTCAACATGCCAGGCGGCGAGAATGCGTAGCAACGCGATTCTGTGCAAGACCCGTCACCCTTTGACAGATTGTATGACGTGTCGGCTGTACACTGAACTGAGATGGAGGTCCCAAGTAGGTTCTCGTAGCCTTCGGAACAAGCTATGCGGCATGTCTCGGGGTAAAGCATGTTTCCGCAATTTGCATCCTCTGTCTCATAACCGGTCGGCAATGCTGGACTGCCAACACATGTGTTAGGCACGCAGTCAGCACGTCCCTCGAACATCTCCGTCTCGTCGCTGCAGACCATTGTCCCATTTACAACATGCCCCACACCACAAACAGGCTCGCAAACGTCTCCATATTCAATGCCCGAACATTCGATGCATACTATGGTGTCCAACCCCGATGATGAAGTGAAGCTGGGTCCACTTATCCTGACAGGAATACCAGCGAACACAGGAAGAGCACATACACAGCACGTTGTGGACGCTGGCTGGCTGGCTAGCTAGCTGGTGGCTGGCTAGCTGCCGCCGCGCCGGGCCAGGAGCAACTGCTGCGACAGTGGCGACTGCGGGTCTCTCAGCAGGCGTGGTATCGAGGAGGCCGGCTTGTGATTGCCACGGACGGGGCGTGCTGGAACCAGCAGCTGGGATGGGCTCGCCGGGCCGGTCTGGGCATCTACGTGGGCCCTCGGTGCGGCAACCTCAGTGCAGCTCTCCCCGGCATGGATCAATCCAGTGGGCGCGCCGAGCTCCTCGCCATCATTCTGGTCTTCGCCGAGGCTGGCCGGCTGGGGCTGCAGGTGGAGATCTTGACGGACTACGAGTGCGCCGCCAAGGCTTGGGCAGCGTGGAGCGGAGGCCCGTCCTTCCACCCCAGGGAGCAGCTGGATCTTTGGCGCCGCCTGGAGCCCCTCGCGCGGGCGGCCCTCGCAGCAGGTTCCGCCCTCACCTGGGTCGCTGCGCACGGCCGTGCGGCGCACGAGCAGGAGCTGAGGTGGAACAAACTTGTTGACGACCTCGCCGTGCAGGGGTCCAAGCGGCACACGGGCCTCCAGCGCTTGACCCAGGCCATCCGCCTGAAGGAGGCCAACCAGGAGAAGGCCCAAGCCGTTCAACGGCACATGGTGCGCTGCATCGTCCTGTGGGGCCGCCAGGAGGAGGAAGAGGAGGAGGAGGAGGAGGAGGATGAGGTGGGCGAGGAGGAGGGCGAGGAGGACGCGCCAGGTGGGCCGGGCCCCGAAGACCTGGCAGCAGCTGACCCACCCAGTGGCGAGCCGGCCCCTTCTGGCGCTGCACTGGCGGCGGTGGCGCTCGAGCAGGCTGATTTCCCTCGGTACCCTTGGCAGCACCAGGCCAGGGCCACACGCCAGCTCATCCTGGGGCCCCCTGTGACCCTCCACAGTGGGAATTGGATGATGGGGAGCCACGACAGATACCACGCCATGCGCTGGTACCTGGGCCAGCTCCGGTTCGACGCTGCCGCCTCCGAGGTTGGCACCACATGGGCCGAGCTGGCCGTGGACTTCGAGCTCAGCACTGGCGTGGAGCTAGCTCCGCCTGGCAGCGCCATGGCCGCGCGGGCCCAGAAGTTTGCAGATGTGGCCTCTCGTGCCTGGCAGCTGTCCACGCCCAGGCAGCAGCGCCAACGCGGGGGCAACAGGCAACGGGCGCTCGGGGACCTCACAGTGGTCTCTCGGGTCACCGCCCTCGTGGCGCTCGGCTTCAAGCAGGGCCCGGGGGTGACCTCGCGTGCCATCTTTGTGCAGCCCTTCACGTATGAGGTGCTGCTGCGCGCGGCGCAGCGTGGACAGGCAGAGAGGCGCCATGCTCACCTCCAATGGCGGCCAGACTACGCAGGCGGCCCCGCACCGACCATGCCGGCAGCTGTCCGGCACGGACCGCCGGCGCCACCTGTGGCCGCTGCCAAGAGGGTGACGGCTGAGAGGATGGCTGCTGGGCACAACGCCGTCGCCGAGCGGAAGCGGCAGGAGCACAATGCCGTCGCGGACTCCCAGGGCCTCCACGTGCTTGGGCCCATTCCCCCGGGAGCTGACAACTCCCAGCCGGTCGTCTGTGAGCGGTGCGGGCGGCAAACGCAGAAGATGCGCCTGGCCAAGTTCAAGCGGGAAGCTTGCGCCGCAGCCTCGGGAGGCCGAGGGGGAGGAGGCGGGGCCGCGCCTGCGGCCCGGCGAGGAGGAGGCCGAGGAGGAGGAGGAGGCTGAGGAGGGGGCGGAGGAGGAGGGAGCCACGCAGATTCCCCACAACCCCAAGATGCAGCCAGCCGATGAGGAGGAGGTGGAGGAGGAGGAGGAGGAGGTAGAGGGAGGGTGTCGCCAGGCAGCTTGGCTACCACAACCGGGAGGTGCCGGGTGACGGTCGCCTTGCTGGGTGGCTGAATGGATGGTCTGCCGTTCCGTATTGGCAGAGCTTATTCTCTTTTGTCCTGCAGGTCAACACTGTGTCAGGTTCCTCGCAGAAGCACCGCCCCCGCCAGCACGTTGTGGACGTTAACGTGGGGGTCACCGTCGTGGAGGTCTGCGTCGACGTGGAAGTCAACGTAGCTGTAGTGTATATCCAAAGTTCCACCACGGGCACAGACGATTCCACCCACTCCACGATGTCACTAGAACCCCCTATCTCATCGAGCTCATTCTCGACAAACTCATGGAACTGCGAAATCTTCTCATACAAACGAAGCAATGCCTCTTCGGTCTCATCCGTGTTTGTACCCTCAACTGTAATTGTGTAGCCAATGTCCCACTCTTGACTGGCCAATCTTCGTTGAAACGACACGCGCCTTGACGTGTTTCTAACGACAACGGAGTTGATCGTGACCTTCGACTGCGAAATGTTCAAGAAAGTTGCCATCGCTGTGCGCGCAACAGCTTCTACCGATGTTTTGTTTAGGGAGGTTGTGAAAGACATCGCGACATCAACCTTGACGAAGGAAAAACGCTCAGGAGTCGCTGTGGTGGTGGTGATCGTGCCAGTGGTTACCGTACCAGTGGTTACCGTCTCTGTCCTGCTTGATGCCGTTAGGCTGGAGGCGGTCGTTGAGTGAAACGTGGTGGAGCTGGTTAATGATGACGACTCGGTTGTAGAGATTGTTGTTGTGGACGTCACGGAGGTCGATATTGTGGTGCTGGATGTCATCGACGTCGTCTCAGTAGCAGTCGTGGTGGACGTCTCTGTTTTACTCGCGGTCGTGGTGGGCGTATCTGTGTAGCTCGCAGACGTGGTGGACGTCCCAGTGGTAGAGCTACTGGTGGTCGACGAGACCGTGGTTGAGGACAGCGTCGATGTTTTCGTGGCCGTCGTGGTGGACGACTGACTGGTTGAGCTGTCCGTGGTCGAGGTAGCTGAGGTTGTGGTAAACGTGGTTGTGGAAAGAGTCGACGTCTTGGTAAAAGTCGTAGTTGAAGTCCCCGTCGCAGACGTCAAAGTGGTGGTTGAGGAAGAACTCGTGGTGATCGAAGACGTTCCTGTAACCGAAGATAGAGTCGATGTAGAGCTGATAGTAGTTGCTGACACCGTGGTTGTAGACTGAGTCGTGGTGGAACTATCCGTGGTTGAAGACAAGGTGTTGGTCGAGGTCTGCGTCAGAGATGTTCGGGTTGTGGACGAAGATGCACTCGTGCTGGAAGTCCCAGTGGTCGACGTCGAACTTGTGCTAAAACTGATGGTGGTGGTGGTGGAACTCTCCGTCACTGAAGTCAAGCTTGTTCCCGAACTCAAAGAGGTAATAGACACACTACTGGTCGACGTCAACGTTGAAATTAAACTCAATGTGGTTGAAGACGTTCCGGTAAGCGAAGATAGAGTCGATGTAGAGCTGACACTGGTAGATGATAAAGACGATGTAGAAGTTACACTGATCGAGGTTAAGGTCGTGCTTGAACTAGACGTGGACGAACTCAAGGTTTGTGATGACGATGTTGCACTTGAGCTCCCAGTAGAGGAAGACAAGGTCGTGCTAGAACTCTCCGTGATTGAAGAAAAGGTCGTGAGAGATGTTCGGGTTGTGGACGAAGATGCACTCGCGCTGGAAGTCCCAGTGGTCGACGTCAGGCTTGTGCTGGAACTGATGGTGGCGCTGGAACTCTCCGTCGTTGAAATGAAGCTTGTGCTCGAGGTTGTCCTGGTGGTTGAAATCGATGTGGCTGTCGAACTTGCACTGGTTGAAGATAAGGTTGAGGTAGAAGTATGCGTGCCTGAACTAACAGTTCTGGACGACAGTGTGGTGCTTGAACTTTCAGTAGTGGAGCTCGGTGTGAACGAAGAAAGAAAGGATAACGTAGATAAGGTAGTAACCGAACTGGTCATGCTGCTGCTGCTGAGGGTGGTGTTGCTGGTCTGACTGGTGCTGCTACGCGTGGTGCTGCTGGTTGCACTGGTGCTGGTCACTGTGGTGCTGCTGCGAGTAGTGCTGCTGGTTGCCGTCGTGCTGGTATCAATGGTGCTGCTGGTTGCGCTGGTGCTGGTGCGCGTTGTGCTGCTGGTGCTGGCAGTGGTGGTCACAGCAGTGGTGCTGCTGGTCACAGTGGTGCTGCTGCGCGTGGTGCTGCTGGTTGCGCTGGTGCTAGTGCGCGTGGTGCTGCTTGTTTCGGTCGTGGTGGTCGCAATTGTGCTGCTGGTCTGGCTGGTGCTGCTACGCGTGGTGCTGCTGGTTGCGCTGGTGCTGGTCACTGTGGTGCTGCTGGTGGCACTGGTGCTGGTGCGGGTAGTACTGCTGGTTGCCGTCGTGCTGGAACCAGTTGTGCTGCTAGTTGCGCTGGTGCTGCTGCGAGTAGTGCTGATGGTTGCCGTCGTGCTGGTACCAGTGGAGCTGCTGGTTGCGCTGGTGCTAGTGCGCGTTAGGCTGCTGGTGCTGGTCGTGGTGGTCACAGCAGTGGCGCTGCTGGTCACAGTGGTGCTGCTGCGCGTGGTGCTGCTGGTTGCGCTGGTGCTAGTGCGCGTGGTGCTGCTTGTTTCGGTCGTGGTGGTCGCAATTGTGCTGCTGGTCTGGCTGGTGCTGCTACGCGTGGTGCTGCTGGTTGCGCTGGTGCTGGTCACTGTGGTGCTGCTGGTGGCACTGGTGCTGGTGCGGGTAGTACTGCTGGTTGCCGTCGTGCTGGAACCAGTTGTGCTGCTAGTTGCGCTGGTGCTGCTGCGAGTAGTGCTGATGGTTGCCGTCGTGCTGGTATCAGTGGAGCTGCTGGTTGCGCTTGTGCTGGTCACTGTGGCGCTGCTGGTGGCACTGGTGCTGGTGCGGGTAGTACTGCTGGTTGCCGTCGTGCTGGAAACAGTTGTGCTGCTAGTTGCGCTGGTGCTGCTGCGAGTAGTGCTGCTGGTTGCCGTCGTGCTGGTATCAGTGGTGCTGCTGGTTGCGCTGATGCTGGTGCGCGTTGTGCTGCTGGTGCTGGTCGTGGTGGCCACAGCAGTGGTGCTGCTGGTCACAGTGGTGCTGCTGCGCGTGGTGCTGCTGGTTGCGCTGGTGCTAGTGCGCGTGGTGCTGCTTGTTTCGGTCGTGGTGGTCACACTTGTGCTGCTGGTCTCGGTCGTGGTGGTCACAGTGGTGCTGCTGGTAGAGCTAGTGCTGCTAAGCGTGGTGCTGCTTGTCCCCGTCGTGGTGGTCACAATGGTGTTGCTGGTAAAGGTGGTGCCGGTGCGAGTTGTACTGCTGGTAGCGCTGGTGCTGCTGCGAGTGGTACTGCTGGTTGCCGTCGTGCTGGAAGCAATTGTACTGCTGGTTGCGCTGGTGCTGCTACGCGTGGTGCTGCTGGTTGCGCTGGTGCTGGTCAGTGTGGTGCTGCTGGTGGCGCTGGTGCTGGTGCGAGTAATACTGCTGGTTGCCGTCGTGCTTGAAACAATTGTGCTGCTGGTTGCGCTGGTGCTGGTGCGAGTAGTACTGCTGGTTGCCGTCGAGCTGGTATCAGTGGTGCTGCTGGTTGCGCTGGTGCTGGTGCGCGTTGTGCTGCTGGTGCTGGTCGTGGTGGTCACTGTTGTGCTGCTGGTTGCGCTGGTGCTGGTGCGGGTTGTGCTGCTTGTCGCGGACGTGGTGGTCACTGTTGTGCTGCTGGTTGCGCTGGTGCTGGAACGCGTGGTGCTGCTAGTTGCGCTGGTGCTGCTGCGCGTGATGCTGCTGGACCCAGTCGTGGTGCTTATTGTGGCGCTGGTTGTTGCGCTGGTGCTGGTGCGGGTCGTGCTGCTTGTCTCAGTTGCGGTCGTCCCTGTTGTGCTGCTGGTTGCGCTGGTGCTGGTGCGCGTGGTGCTGCTGCTGCTGGTCGTTGTGGTCACAGTGGTGCTGCTAGTTGCGCTGGTGCTGGTGCGGGTTGTGCTGCTTGTGCCTGTCGTGGTGGTCACTGTTGTCCTGCTGGTTGCGCTGGTGCTAGTGCGGGTTGTGCTGCTGTCAGTTGTGCTGGTCCGAGTGCTGGTCTTGGTGCTGCTGGTTGCGCTGGTGCTGGTGCGCGTTGTGCTGCTGGTGCTGGCCGTGGTGGTCACAGTGGTGCTGCTGGTTGCACTGGTGCTGCTGCGCGTGGTGCTGCTGGTTGCGCTGGTGCTAGTGCGCGTGGTGCTGCTGGTAGCGCTGATGCTGCTGCGAGTAATACTGCTGGTTGCCGTCGTGCTTGTATCAGTGGTGCTGCTCGTTGCGCTGGTGCTGGTGCGAGTGGTGCTGCTTATCACAGTGGTACTGCTGGTTGCGCTAGTGATGGTACGCGTGGTGCTGCTCCCGGTAGTGCTGGTCAGAGTGCTGGTCCTGGTGCTGCTGGTTGCTGTCGTGCTGGTATTACTGGTGCTGCTTGTTGCGCTGGTGCTGGAACGCGTGGTGCTGCTGGTGCCAGTCGTCGTCGTCCCTGTGGTGCTGCTGGTTGCGCTGGTGCTGCTGCGCGTGGTGCTGCTGGTTGCGCTGGTGCTGGTGAAGGTTGTGCTGCTTGTCGCGGTCGTGGTGCTCCGGGTGGTGCTGCTGGTTGTGTTGGTGCTGGTGCGTGTTGTGCTGCTGCCAGTCGTACTGGTCCCAATGCTGGTGCTGGTGCTGCTGGTTGCCGTCGTGCTTGTATCAGTGGTACTGCTCGTTGCACTGGCGCTGGTGAGCGTGATGCTGCTAGTCCCAGTCGTGCTCGTAATGCTCGTGGCGCTGGTGCTAGTGCGAGTGGTGCTGCTTGTCACAGTGGTGCTGCTGGTTGTGCTAGTGCTGGTGCGCGTGGTGCTGGTTGGTGCTGGCGTGGGCGCTTGTGTTGGTGCAGGCGTCGGTGCTGGCGCTGGTGCTGGCGTCGGCGCGGGAGTGGGCGCTGGCGTCGGCGCTGG